TGATAAGAACGTCTAAACAAGTGACAACTGTACGTATATATAGCATTCTGAAATTAATTTATACAGAATAACAAACAAACCAACACCAAAGTTCTGCCAAAAATTTACAAAAAAAAAAGATGAAAAAAAAAACAATTTCCAAAATATCATTCATCATTAAATACAGTGTCTTTAAAACATCTTTAAAACTTAACTGTTTTCAAAATATCTAATAGTGAACAGTAAATTTTAAACTATATTTTTCAATAATTTCTGCTGTACCTCTTTTTAACTATGACTCAAATTAAAATGTCTATCAATTGTGCAATACAGCTCTAACATGCCTGAATTTTGATTCTGATTAAATAGTTGATATAGCATAGTTTCTGAAACAGAATGAATGTTGTCTAAGTACTTAAATAATTTGAAATTGGACATTTACCAATTATGGTCCAATATCCAAAATCTAAATACATGGTTGGAATCAGAATATATATCAAAGAACTCTAAGAATTCATTTTTTGATGAAATCAAACAAAGTTTAATTTTGAACCCTTTGGACTTCAGTGTGGACCAACTTGAAAACGGTACCCAAAATCCAAAATCTAAATACCAGGTTAGATTCAGCATATCAAAGAATCCCACATATTCAATTTTTGTTGAAATCAAACAAAGTTTAATTTTGGACCCCGATTTGGATCAACTTGAAAACTGTGCCCAAAATCAAAAATTTAATTATATGATTAGATTCAGCATTTCAAAGAACCCTAAGAATTCAATTTTTGCTAAAATCAAACTAAACTTAATTTTGGATACTTTGGACCTTAATGTGTTGTGTGTTTGTTTATTCCACATTGGCTAGATGTATAGGGGGAGGGTTGAGATCTAACAAAACATGTTAAACCCCGCCGCATTTCTGCACCTGTCCCAAGCCAGGAACCTCTGGCCTTTGTTATTCTTGTATGTTTTTTTAAATTTTGGTTCATTTATATGTTTCGGAGTTTAGTATGACGTCCATTATCTGAACTAGTATACATTATTTTTAGGGGCCAGCTGAAGCCCGCCTCCGGGTTCGGGATTTTCTGGCTGTGTTGAAGACCCATTGGTAGCTTTTGGCTGTTTTCTGCTCTTTAGTCGGTTTGTTGTCTCTTTGTCGCATTCCCCATTTCCATTCCCAATTTAAGTTTGAAAACCAGGCCCAAAATCAAAAATCTAAATACACTGTTAAAATGGACACATCAAAGAACACCAATAATTCAATTTTTGATGATATCAAACAAAGGTTAATTTTGGACCCCAATTTGGACCAACTTGAATACTGTGCCCAAAATCAAACATCTAAATACACGCTTAGATTTAGCATACCAAGAACCCTTAGAATTCTTTTTTATTTTTATACTAACAAAGTTTAATTTTGGACCCTTTGGACCTTAATGTGGACCAATTTGAAAACAGGTCTCAAAATTAAAAATCTAAATACGCTGTTAGATTCAGCATATCAAAGAACACCATTAATTTAATTTTTAAAGTTTAATTTTGGACTCTTTAGACCTTAATATTGACCCATTCAAAAACAGGGCCCAAAATCCAAATACTAAATACCCGGTTTGATTATTAAAGCATATTAAAGAACCCCAAGAATTCAAGGCTTTGAATAAAACCCTACTGAAATTGCTAAAAAAAAATAAGCAATTCATACAAAGTATTACAAATGTATTGTATGTTATAACCCCTGAAATCAATCCCAAAGTTTATTTTATGGTATAACACATTGTGGCACAATTAAATAGCAATCTATAGACTTATACTCAAGTTATTGTCCAGAAACAAAAAAATCCTAGTTTTTTGCCCCTTTTCGGCCCCTAATTACTAAACAGCTACGACAATAACCCCCAAAATAAATCCAAACCTTCCTATTGTGGTATGGAACCTTGTTCTAAAATTTCATAGAGATCCATATACTTATACTCAAGTTATTGGCTGTGAACAAAACAAAATAATTGTTTTTGTTGGCCCCTTTTTGGCCCCTTATTACTAAACAACTACGACAATAACCCCCAAAATAAATCCCACCCTTCATATTGTGGTATGGAACATTGTGCTAAAATTTAATAGAGATCCATACACTTATACTCAAGTTATTGTTTGCGAACCAGAAAAATAATTGTTTTTGGTCCCTTTTTGGCCTCCAATAACACAGCAGCTACGACAATAACACCCAAAATCAATCCCAATCTTCCTATTGTGGTATGGAACCTTGTAGTAAAATTTAATAGAGATCCATACACTTATACTCAAGTTATTGTCTGCGAACCAGAAAAATAATTGTTTATGGCCCCTTTTTGGCCTCTAATTACAAAACAGCTACGACAATAACACCCAAAAGCAATCCCAATCCTCCTATTGTGGTATGGAACCTTGTGATAAAATTTCATACAGATCCATACACTTATACTCAAGTTATTGTCTGCGAACCAATTTATTGACAATGAACCAGTAAAAAATGCTTGTTTTTGGCCCTAATTACTATACAACTACGACAATAACCCCTAAAATAAATCACAACCTTCCTGTTGTGGTATGGAACCTTGTGCTAAAATTTCTTAGAGATCTATACACTTATACTCAAGTTATTGTCTGCGAACCAAAATGTCCTTGGACGCCGACGCAGACATCGTCATAGCATAATACGAACGCAAAAAATTTTGCGGTCGTATAGAAACTGAAGATAGAGAGAAATTGTTAACAGAAAAATAATCATAAAAAAGAGGATTTTTTTCATGAATTATATGATAATCTACATTGTTGGAGAGTGTCAAATTTTGAAGATGCACATACTATGACATAGACCTAGGTGAGCAACACAGGCACTTTAAAGCTCTAGTTAGCTCATGTGAACGTATTGCCATCCCTTGGCCTTGTTGACATACACTTTTTCAAAGATCTCTGAAAATACGGAACAAATTCAACTAAACATATGGTGAGTGATCCTTAAGGTATGTTGTATAAAGTGTGTGACCTTTTCCTGTCAGTCAACAAACATGGCTGTCATGGAAAAAAAAGAACATGAGAGTAAAACACATTAATTGTCGTTTCTTGAAACCATAATATTTATAGAAAAAAATCTGACAAGGAGCAAAAATGCTCACTATGTTAAGATTTACCTACTTCCTATTTTCACCAAAATTAACAGATGACTCTTAATGAATTATTGCCGTTAAATGACGATTTTTGGCTAATTTTCATGTTTTTGCCTATTACCTCAAAACAATATTGGATATGTACAAACTATTAAGGCAAACATTATCAGCGATACAAGATGTACTTAAATGCCGATATGTCTGAAACCATTGGATGACTAGCTAGATTTTTGGCTAATTTTTATGTTTTTGCCTATTATCTCTAAAACTATTATAATAACAGATAGGTAGAAACTGTAAACAACAGAAATAATCAGCAGTGCAAGATCTACAAAAGGCCAGATGACCAAAACAATCGGATGACCCATTAATATATATAACTACTTAAGGAATAATTGCTATTAAATGAAGATTTTTGAAAATTTTCTCGAAAAGTACTACATATAAGTAGAAACTATAAACAGCAAAAATTATCAGCATTACACGATCTACAAAAATACCAGATGACCAAAATAATCGGATGACTCATTAAGGAGTTATTGCCCTTAAATTACAGTACTAATTTTCGAGAAACTAAAATAGACAGGTAGAAACTGTAAACAGCAAAAATGAAATGTTCAGTAATGCAAGATCTGCAAGCATGCTTATATAAAAGAAACCATTTGATGACTCCTTAAAAAATTAATGCTTTTAAACGAAGATTTTGAAAATTTTTCAGGTAGAAGCTGCAAATAGCAAAAATGATCAGTAATACACGATCTACAACAAGGCCAGATGATCAAAACAATTGGATGACCCATTAAGGAGTTATTGCCCTTTAATTACGGTTCTTGACTTATTTTCTTTAAAACTACAATGGATAGATAGTAAATGTAAACAGCAAAAATGAACAACGAATCAAGTTGACAAAAAATACCAATATATAAGTAACTATTGGATGACTCCTATAGAAATAAATGCCATTAAATGTCGATTTTTAAAAATTTTCATGTTTTTGTCAATTATCTTGAAAAGTATGACAGGTAGTAACCGTATATAGCAAAATAATCTGCAATAGACGATCTACAAAAATGCCAATATAACCAAAAAAATTGGATGACCCCTTTAAGGAATTATTGCTCCTAAGTTACAGCTCTTAAATTTTTTTCTAGTAAACTATAATAGATAGGTAGAAACTGTAAACAGCAAATATGACCATCACATCAAGATCTACAAAAATGTCATACATATGAAATCTCTAGATATTTCTTTATAGTAGTTATTGACATTAAATGACACTTGTAGACTATTTTTTTTTATAATTTTGCCAATTATCTTAATAACTATGATAGATAAGTAGAAACTGTAAACAGCAAAAATGATCAGCCATATCCAATCTACAATAATACCAATGTGTATTGCCCTTAGATGGTGATTTTTATTCATATTCTACATTTGGGGAAAAATGTAAAGTAGGCCAAAAGAAATTGAAAACAGCAAAAAAGATCAACAATACAAGATCAACAAAACAGATGATAATGAATCATATTCTAGTCTATTATGTTGGAGAGTGGCCATTGTTGAAGATGCACATAGATCCAGTTCTGTAATCATCAATAAATTCTATACGACTTATGTTTCTCATGACTTGTGTTTACCTGTAAATATGTGCAAATGAAATTGGTTTTTTTTGTTGCGCAAATGAAAACCCCCCGTTACAACTATTATAAAATGTCCTAAAGTTATTTTTTGGTTAGTTCATATCTAGTAATAAGCATTAATATTTAAGAGGCGGAAGATACCAAGGGGATATTTAAACTCATAAGAAGAAGACAAACTGACGGCGCCATTGCAAAAAACGAAAAGAATTAATTATAAGTATTTATGGCATTTTAAGACCGCTTGATTTATTTGATTATTTTATTTCATTTTTCCTCCGTTAAGTATTGTATAACCTTATCGATAACTTTTGAAGGTATCAAACATATTACAATGCTTTACTCTATTAACAATTAGAATTAAATGCACCCATTAATAACGCACTTTGTGACAATTGTTATATTTACCACACACACAAAAAATACACACAAAAAAATCTTATTTTTTTTTTACAAATTACCAATGTAGACATAGATTATATATAATTAATAGCATTTTTTATGTAAAATATACTCATAATTGTATTTACTTCATTTGATCTGGGTACATTTTTGTGAAAAAATGAATTATTGACAACCATAGCTCTGATGATAAACCTCAAGACACTGTAAATGTCACGATTAATCCTAAACGTGTATGTATCTCATCTTTAACTAGATTATGACAAAATGGACAAATGTATTCCTTTAGTGTTAAGTTCCACATCTATGTTTACCAAAATATCTATGTAGGTGGCGTGCCATAAAGTTAACAACATAGGAGTTCAGAAGATTGTTCTACTTGCAAAGTTTATGAAGTCATAACTATTTACATTCGAATTGTACCATTCCAAAATTTGATAAACCATGACTGTTCATCACTAATTCGTATTTTACTTTTAATTACTTTAAAAAAAACAGTTCTTTGCTGATTCCTGGCTGCATTTAGTTTTCTACTGACATATTGCGAAATAATTTTCCACATTTTTAAAAAGTTCCAGGATCTACATTTTCGTCTCGACCATAAACAAAATGCGAAGACTAACTGTGTTTTTAAGCTTATAGTAAAATCTGAACACTTCAAGTTTCTGCTGAGCAAAATATGATATCCATCCTTAATCCCAATGCACTGCAGTATTGCTTGTAAATCAAATCCCTCCAAGGAATATTTTACTAGTTTTGAACGTTACCAATAAGTCCCTTTATTGCCGAGCAATATAGCAATATTTGGTGTATCAAACTTTCATATAGTTTTGTGAACACTTGATATGTCATACCATTACAAATAAACATACATGTATATATAAGTATTTAGTTCAAAAGAATTAAAATAAGTAGAAGAACAATCACTTTTAAAAAAATTAATGATTAAACAAAAAATGCTGATAGTGCATTGTTTACTTTATTTCATCAGAAAAATGTTGAAACATTAAATGATATTGCTTTTAATACTGGCTATCCTTAAGTTGTAGGATATAAGATAATATGATTTATATGTATTAGTAGCCAGATGAAACCAGTTGCTTGATGGTGGCTTGCAAAGGTTTATAGTCCATTGCATTTCCTGGCGATAGCTTTCCAGAATCGAATATCTCCCAAGACCCTCGAGCATTGGACATTGAACACATCACTACGGCTTGGGAGTAATTTGCGTGTGTAAACGTTGTCGTGCACAAATCTGTATTTGGTTCTGATGCTTCATAAAAACGGAGACTTGGACTGCGATATTTTGAAATGTTTGGTGAACCAAAAGCGCTCAGTGTAAAAAATAAATGTGTTATTTGTTTAGGGATCTTCTGTAAATAAACATCAATGACGTGGTGTCCTCGACTTGCTTTGTGATCCATGATGTCACCAGAATGATTTAAAGCTTTATTTGTTGCAAGACCATGGCAGTAATCGACGACTTCGACAAAATTAGTACCACTAAACAATAGGCACGATGCATCTAAAAAATCTACACCATTTACTGGAAATCCCCAAAACAGGTCAAAAACCACGTGGTCAAAATTGTCGGGTATGGCATACAGGCATATCACCAGGCATACTGCAGTGTTTGCTTCAACTCCATAATCTAATAAGCTTTTAAGACATCTGTTTTTGTCATATGTCTAAAATGATAAAAAATATTTATCTAAATCATTATTCTTTTTTAGAAATTACTTTCGCACCTTCGTATGGAGTATATATATCTCAGTTGATACGATATTCAAAAGCTTGCATTTTTCTGATTTCCTTGATAGAGGGGTTACTGCTTACAAAGAAGCGATTGAACCAAGAATTCCAAGTGGTGAAGTTGAAATCATCCCTTCGAAAATTTTACAGACGCCATCACGAGTTGGTTGACCGTTATGGAATATCTGTTTCACAGATGACGACGGATATGTTCCAATTGTCGTAACCGTACCCGTCCTCTTTTCCTCGAATGTGACTCACCGAATTAGACTTATACCCGGGTTTGTACTTACATGAGCAACACGACGGGTGCCACATGTTGATAAGGATCTGCTAACCCTTCCGTACACCTGAGAACAAACCCGGTTTTTAATGGGATCGAGTTGCTCAGTCTTTAGTTTTCCTTGTGTTTTGTGTGAAGTTTTTCTTTTCGTCGTTTTTCATTTTTTGGCATGGCTTTTTAAGTTTGTTTTCGACTTTGAATATCCCTTTGGTATCTTTCGCCTCTCTTTTAGTTTGCATTAAAATCGAGATTGATTCCGGTGATCGATGATAATAATCGGTTCAACTCATAATACCAGTGAGTGTTAATAACTCAACAAAACGGATTTGCCCCGCAGCATTCCCTTGTACTTTTTTTGTGAACAACACGACATGGACGGAATTCTACAATCTGCGTTTACTCTGCATATGTAAGAGAATGAAAATGCCTTTCTTCATTTTGTGAGGTAATTTATTAAACTGTTCGAATAGAATAAAAGGAAATAATCACCTTTTAGATGAAATTCTAAAGTTAATTGCATCGGAATACAATGTATTTAAAATGGCTATTCTTACCTACCGGGGATCCAATAATATGAGTTTTGGGTAGCATATTAGCTAAAGATTTAGGTAATATTTAGTTTATCAGATTTCTTTTTTTTTCTCTATGAAAGTGCCTTGATACTGTTTCATTTTTAAGTCATTTTGAAGTTGATATTCACATAATAAAATTATGGTACCAATTTTACTGCACTAGTAAAACTCAACATACTTTGATTCAAATTAATTTTTTAATCAGTTTAAATCATATTAAATTCTGTCAAAATGTTAAATGTGCTTTGGGGCAGTTGTAAATCATTTAAAGAAATTCTATTATGTAGAGACTACGGAAGCCTAGTAGGACCACCCTTTTTTATTTTATTTTTTTTCAAATTGTCGACTTTAATCTTGGAATTATCAACTTTTATCTTGGAATTATCAACTTTAATCTTGGAATTTCCAATTTTAATCTTGGAATTATCAACTTTAATCTTGGAATTTCCAACTTTAATCTGCGATTTATCAACTTTAATCTTGGAATTTCCAACATTAAACTTGAAATTTCCAACTTTAATCTTGGAATTATCATCTTTAATCTTAGAATTATTAACGTTAATCTTGAAATTCACACATTAACTTGGAAATTCCAACTTTAATCTTGAAATTATCAATTTTAAAATTGGAATTATCAACATTAAACATGGAAATTCCAACTTTTATCATAAAATTCCAACATTGAACTTGGAAATTCAAACAAGCCGACGAGGAAAGGCATTACATCGACCACCGAAAGCTATATTTTTATGTAGCTTAGGTGGTCGAGTGGTCTAGGGCGCTGGACACGGTGCAGGCGGTGTAACCACGATGTCACAGAAGCATGGGTTCGAATTCCGCTGAGGGAAAAACAAAATTTTGCTAACAGTTGTTGGGCTAAATTTGAGACGAATTATGTATATATATGGTATTAGCCGTTTATAACCACGTGTTATTCGACGGAGAATGCCTGTCATGTTTAGACGTGTATAAAAAATATATGTATATAATTCGTTTTACACCAACAATGTTAGATCTTCAAATATGCGTTAGCAAATTTTTGTTCTTCTCTCAGCGGGATTCGAACCCTTGCGTCTGTGACATCGTGGCAACACCTCCTGCACCGTGTCCAGCGCCCTAGACCACTCGACCACCTAGGCTACATAAAAATATACCTTTCGGTGGTCGATGTAAAGCCTTTCCTCGTGGGCTTTATCTAAGGTTGTAACACAGTACATGATGTATAGTGACACGTAGATGGTGTACCTTTCAGATCACCTATTTTGTCTGTCGTAAAGGATGATAATGTCAATTACCATGCCGCCACATCAAGTTTTAATTCTTTTTATACACGTCTAAACATGTGACAACTTTATGACAAAATTAAGCCCAACAATGTTAGATCTTAGATCCCGCTGAGGGAAGAACAAAAATTTGCTAACGCAAATGTGAAGATCTAACATTGTTAGACTATATATATATAAAGGGCAAGCCTTGTTTGTCCATTGTACTGATGTGTATCATATTGTTAAATTTGTTTATGTTCAATAATATAGACATGTTAAATAGACATCTTGATTAAAACCCATTAGTAGCCGAGAGGTTTCTTCGATGTGTTTGATATCAGTCATACAGGGGTTCGATTCCCAGTCAAGGCAAATAAAAATAATTACAGTTTAAAGTTAAAGGTAAGTTTTTAAATTTATTCATTAGTGAACAGAAATAAGTAAATTATCCAATTCAAACTTATTGAAATTAAGTACTCAAAGGAAACAATGAAATGTAATTTGGTGATTCTATTCCAGTGACAGATTAAGGAAGCGTTGATTCTAAAAAAAAAACACGGTAAATGAACAGGCTGTCGTCACGGTGATTGTGTGCATGTAATTGTTTTGAAGTCTAGGTTAGTCTATGAAAAGGTATATACTATGAAATTTAGAGCGAGGGGCTTTTCATAGACTATCCAATTTAGCACATATTTACAACTCGAGTAACCTTTTAATTGTTACATCCCAACTCCTTTGTTCTACCAGGGGTGATCTGAGCCGGATCATCCCTACCAGATCACCCAAGCTTGAGTTTCTATGTTTTGCATGCTTTCCTTTGTTTTGAAACATTTTGGCGGGAATGCCTAATCCACAATAAAACTTAGAAATATTTATTGAGAGAAGACAAACTTTCAAAATTTATGTAGAAAAAATCCATTGTCTATGCTGGGATTCGAACTCAAGACCTTTGGCATATCAACCCACGACACATACCCCTACACCAGGACGACTGGATACCAACTCTCAGTAATTTAACATATTTAAAGGAAGCAATATATTTTCATAAGTGGGGCGAGTTGGCAGACCTTTATTCAGTGGGATTTTAACACTTTTCATAAATAAGGCGAGTTGTCAGACTGATTGTTCAATGGGATTTTATCCTTTTTCATAAGTGGGGCGAGTTGGTAAACAAGAGTGGGGCGATTTTTTAGAAAATGGCGATTTAGTGTGGGTCGATTGGCCAGTGGGGCGAGTTGACATGGTTTCATATTTAAACACTGTGTTCGGGGGTCATACAGGGTATATATTAGTAATATATAAAGTATATTATAATGGTTGTGTGGCGTTCTAAACTAGATTTTATGAATTGTAAATGGTTTTTCGTCTAATCTCTAACAGCTGGGATGTAAAATAGTTTTCCCATTCGGACTCCGGCCATCGGGGTGATCTTACACTGACACACCGCGTCCTCGTGGGATAACTATTACATCTATTGATAGTTTATTTTGGCTGACTACTTGTATCACAGGTGTTTGTAAAACGGAGCTCATTAACGAAGTTTTGTAAATCTACTCATTAGTATCATTGTAAAATATGTGATTTCAAAGGCCCTTGACTCCAGAATGAAAAGATGGTAGGCTAGCTGCTGGTGTAAGTATGTTTATTGGTATAAAGCGGTGTTTAACTATACATGTACTTCCTTACATGGTAAGATGACAAAATAAATTGACCAAAAGCAGGCAATAATTAAATTGGAGTAGAAACTCTATATGTCTTGAAAACATTTTTCAATTTCACAGTCAAACTAAAGCTATAATAAATTTGAAACTTATAGATAGTATGCAGTGGTGTATCCAGGGGGAAGGAAGGGGGTCCGGGGGTTGGAAAACCCCCATTTTTGGACGATCAATGCTTTTGAATGGGGACATATGGTTGGAACCCCCCTTTTAAAAATGGCTGGATCCACCCCTGGTATGTCCCCATAAATAGTCTAGCGGATAGTCATTAAAAAGCAACTACCAATAGATCAAAGATACTAGGGTTTATGTTTTATTTTAAAGTAAAAACTAAAAGATGTATCAGAACATGTATATACATAATTATATATATATAGGTGGCACATTCTCTTCAGACATTATTACGGTTTTTCAATTCATGACATCGTCCTGAACATGCATGAAATATTTGCCACTGGACATTAAGCAACCAATTATCAATCAATCAATCAATTCATGACGAAATAGACCAAGTTGCCTTATTTTCCCTTCACAAGGTTTCATAGTACACACTTTTTTGTGTACAAAGTAATTGCATGGATGATAAATTATCACAATTTTAAGATGCCGCTGTACTCTAATCAAGTTATAAAGAACCATATTTGTTACTCTTTATCTAAATGAAAAAAACTTGCAATCGTCAAAAACATTTTTTAGATCCAAAGATTTTAATAGCAGGATATTTAAAAATCAAAGTGAAAACTATATTACCAAACTATTTAATTTAATTTGGAACACAGCATTTTATTTCAAAATAGCCAGTGGCAATTTTTGTTTTAATATCTTGATTACGATACAATAATTACATTAGATGTATGTTTCATTATAATACGTCATTCTGATTGGCTAACTGCAATCTCGCGTTATTCCTTAATCAACTACATTACACAATGAAATTTATCATTCATGATGACACGAGGTCCCACAATAAAGTGCACAGGTAAATTAAATAAAAACTTGATAAAAATCGTGTTTTCATGATCCTAGCTAAAGAATGTAATTATGAGTATTGAATGCTTCTTTTTGTAACTTCATAGGGGTGTAAAAGCGTTGACCGTG